AGAATGTTCCAAACAGTTGTTTTGGCCCGCCTAATGTTTTTGCTATCTCTCTGATGGGTTTGTTTTGTTTTTTCAGCCTAATGATGGCTTCACTGATAGTGACAGCTCTTTGGATCTCATCTTGAGAGTTGACAGCAACAGATTCCAAATGCAAATAGCACACTTGAAATGAACTCTGGACCTTTTATCTGCTCATTGTAATTGGGATAATGAGGGAATAACACACACCTGGCCATGGAACAGCTGAGAAGCCAATTGTCCCATTACTTTTGGTCCCTTAACAAGTGGGAGGCACATATGCAAACTGTTGTAATTCCTACACCGTTTACCTGATTTGGATGTAAATACCCTCAAATTAAAGCTGACAGTCTGCAGTTAAAGCACATCTTGTTTGTTTCATTTCAAATCCATTGTGGTGGTGTATAGAGCCAAAAATGTTAGAATTGTGTCCGATGTCCCAATATTTATGGACCTGACTGTAGATGGTTGACTGTTATAGTAATGATCTTAAAGGCGGTTCTCCATCTGTATCTGATCTTGTGTTTTGAAACCCCGTGCTCTGTAGTTTCTTTCCAAATAGATACAGTATCTTCTTTGGGGCGGTTTGGTACCACCAAAACCAGGAGGTTACGTAGTTCTTCAGATCTGTGACTGTTAGTCCCTTCAAAGCCTCCATTATCAGTTCTAACATCTATCCTCACTCTGAAAAATGTCAGATCTGAAGTTGAAGACTTTACTATCCACCTGCTTAAAGAAATTGTGAATCTTTCCCTGATATTCCCCAATGGAGGTGATATCTGTGGTTTTATTTTGTAGATAGTTCAAGTACTATCTTTTCAATGATTCTCTACAGGGTCCACAGGTTCCCTTTTGGTAGCATGCACTGTTTGTGAATCTGCAGGAGTGGGAGCAAATCTAAAGGTCGCTATCTGCTGGTTAAGATTTGTGTAAAAAGATATCTGGGATTCCAGGATCCTTGTCCTTAGCTTTGGATTTTGGGACCCTGTAAGATCTCCTTCAGCTGGTAGGAGAATATTTATAGCTGAGTCCTCTGTAGAGCTAAGTTGGCTCACAATGCTATTGGTAGTATTACTTACCTTTTTGCTGATGGGCCCAATTGTCCGGTTGTCTCTCTATCCTCACTTTGCCAAGCAAAGTTCCTCCTCTTCTTGGCTAATGTCCCAAATGCTGGGCAATGGGACATAACCTTCCAACTCACTGCTGCTGGTCACATGCCTCTCAGCTCCAGGATTGGTCCCTGGTGCTGGAGGTGCCCTATTTAAACAGCAGCAATCTGTGCTTCAGGGAGTGTGATGGCATTTTCCTGCTGAATAAGTACCCCTGTAATTTTACTTGTGTATTGCTGTTACTGACCTTGGCAATGTTTAATGGATACTTCTGCTATCTGCTGCCTGCATTGATCATGACTAGATTTAACAACTCCTGTCTGCTTCATGGCCTAACCTTAGCTATGTTTATTGGATACCTCTACTGCCTGCTCTGACTTTAGCTATGTTTAATGGATACTTCTGCTGTCTGTTGCCTGCCCTAGCATTAGCTAGGTTTAATGGACACCTCTGTCTGCTGCCTGCCCTGACCTTATCTACATTTAATGGAAATCTCTGCTGCCTGCCCTGACCTTAGCTACATTTAATGGAAACCTCTGCTGCCTGCCCTGACCTTAGTTACATTTAATGGAAACCTCTGCGGCCTGCCCTGACCTTATCTACATTTAATGGATACCTCTGTCTGCTGCCTGCCCTGACCTTATCTACATTTAATGGAAACCTCTGCTGCCTGCCCTGACCTTAGCTACATTTAATGGAAACCTCTGCTGCCTGCCCTGACCTTATCTACATTTAATGGAAACCTCTGCTGCCTGCCCTGACCTTAGTTACATTTAATGGAAACCTCTGCTGCCTGCCCTGACCTTAGTTACATTTAATGGAAACCTCTGCTGCCTGCCCTGACCTTATCTACATTTAATGGAAGCCTCTGCTGCCTGCCCTGACCTTAGTTACATTTAATGGAAACCTCTGCTGCCAGCCCCAACCTTTGCTTTGTTTAACAGATATTTCTTCTGTCTGCTTCTGATTCAGTGATCTGTGCCACATTCAGCAGTTACGTTCCTTGTCTGTTGCCTGCACCTACCTTACCTACATTTAACAGTTACTTCTACTGTCAGCTGACTGTCTTGACAATAACTATGTTTAACAGATACTTCTACTGCTTGCCTTGACCTTAGCTATGGTTAATGGATACCTCTACTGTATACCGCTGACCTTTGTGACAGTGACATATCTCCTGTCTGCTGCCTGTGCTGACCTTAGCTGCATTTCCTCTGCTGCCTACCCAGAATCTTGCTATCTTTAAACAGATACTTCTCCTGTCTGCTGCCTCTGCTGTCCTTAGCTATGTTTAATTGATATTTCTGCCGTGTGCTGCCTGTCCTGACCTTAGCTATGTTTAATTGATATTTCTGCTGTGTGCTGCCTGTCCTGACCTTAGCTATGTTTAATTGATAATACTGCTGTCTGTCCTGACCTTAGCTATGTTTAACAGATACATCTACTATTTGCTGCTTACCCTGTCCTTAGCTATGTTTAATGGATACCCTTTCTGTATGCTGCTTGCCCTAACCTTTGCAACACTTAACAGATACATCTCCTGACTACTACCTGCACTGACCTTAGCTACGTTTAATGTATAACTAAGTGTAATATCTCTACTGTCTGCCCTGAGCTTAGTTACATTTAATGGATACCTCTGCTGCCTTCCCTGACCTTTTCTATGTTTAAAAGATACTTCTACTGTCTGCTGCCTGCACTGACCTTAGCAATGCTTAATGGATACTTCTACTGTCTGCCATATGCTCTGACCTTAAATACATTTAATGGACATGCCTACTGGCCTTGCCCTGCCCTGGCCTTGCTACATTTAATGGATAATTCTCTCTGCTGCCCGTCCTGACCTTTGTTACATTTAACAGATACGTCTTCTGTCTGCTGCCTGTCCTGACTTCTGGTACTTCACCAGTCCCCTTTTCTGTCTGTTGCCTGCCCTGGCATTGGATACATTTAACAGTTACTTCTTCTGTCTGCTTCAGGTACTGACCTTAGCTATGTTTAACAGATACTTCTATTGTCTATCCTGACCTATTCTTTGTTTAAAAGCTGCTTCTCATGTCTGCTGCCTGCACTGACCTTAGCAATGCTTAATAGATACCTCTGCTGTCTGCTCTAATCTTATCTACATTTAATGGAGACACCTACTGTCTGCTGTCTGCCTTGGCCTTTGCTACATTTAATGGGTACTTCTCTCTGCTGCCTGTCCTCACCTTTTGGTACATTTAACAAATGCTTCTGTCTGCTACCTGTCCTGACTTTTGCTACTTCACCAGTTCCCTTTTCAGTCTGCTGCCTGCCCTGGCCTTGGATACATTTTAACAGATACTTCACCTGTCTGCTTTTAGCCCTGACCTTAGCTATGTTTAACAGATACTTCTATTGTCTGCCCTACATGACCTTTTCTTTGTTTAAATATACTTCTCATGTCTGCTGCCTGCACTAACCTTAGCAATGCTTAATAGATATCTCTACTGTCTGCTATCTGCTCTTACATTAGCTACATTTAATGGAGATGCCTACTGTCTGATGCCTGCCTTGGCCTTTGCTACATTTAATGGAGACACCTACTGTCTGATGCCTGCCTTGGCCTTTGCTACATTTAATGGAGACACCTACTGTCTGATGCCTGCCTTGGCCTTTGCTACATTTAATGGAGACACCTACTGTCTGATGCCTGCCTTGGCCTTTGCTACATTTAATGGAGACACCTACTGTCTGATGCCTGCCTTGGCCTTTGCTACATTTAATGGAGACACCTACTGTCTGATGCCTGCCTTGGCCTTTGCTACACTTAATGGATACGTCTCTCTACTGCCTGTCTTCACCTTTGTTACATTTAACAAATACTTCTGTCTGCTACCTGTCCTGACTTTTGTTATTTCACCAGTCCCCTTTCCTGTCTGCTGCCTGCACTGACCTTTAATGGATACTTCTATTGTCTCCGACCAGCCATAATCCATCAGCATTGCATTGCAGATAGAAGCACAGAGACCCAGCGATGACATCAATAGGTCTAAAATAAGGCATGCAATGAAAATGGAATGTTTTTCTGTAATAATTAGCATGCTGATGAAGGGGGGGGGGGGGGGACCAGGGAAGGCAAAACATCAGAAGATTAGCCTGCAGTTTTAACCCTTTTTTATTCAATGAACAGTCCGGTTGCTCAGTAGTGGTGGTAACTATTTCCAGTGACCTTCTGTAGGTCAGCATTATGTGTTTCTATGTGTTTCTTGTCCCATAAAGTTTTTATGAAATATTTTAAACATGCAGAATGTCAAGAAAATGACAGCAGTACATTATGAGGTTTAACAGCGTCAACATAGGGCGAGGAAATTCTTCTCAGGCTAAAGATAAAATCCAACAACGATGAACAAAAGAGAAAACAAGGCAATCCTCTGTGTTATTTCACAATGTTTGTGTCTGTTCTGAGCTGCCCTGTGGTTTCCTGTGGTGATGGGCGGCATTTCACGGACCTTAAATGTGAGATTTCCCATCACCATTGTTATTTACAGCAATGATTGCCAATACCTTCTATAAATAATATTTATAGCAACGACTACCAATATCTTCTAGCAATAGTCATGAGAGGTCTGTGGATCCCTCTTATCGTATTCATTCCTCTCCGTCACCATTGACCTCCATGTATGATCTATTAATATTATCTGAGTCCCATTTGGTAAAAATTGGATTTCTTCAATTCCCAATGGAAACCAAAGAAATTCATAAAAACTACGTGTACCATCAATGTAAGAGTCGGGTATTTGAGATGTGATCAGTAGAAATATGTAATTGTAGGTTGATCTAGTTATAATTCTGTGTTATTGTTCCAGTCTCGTGACAATAAAACCCAACAAACAATGAAGAGAATGTTACCTGGGAGGACGGTCACCTTCACGGGGTGCATGTTATCGGACCAGTTTCGTTCGATCCCACATTGATACGTGTCAGAATCTTCCGGTCTCATTCGTCTTTTGGTGATGGTAAGGCTGCGACTTGAAGGATTGTCCTCCATAGAATATTGGTTCATGGACCTTCCATCAGTTGATTTGATGAGGATGTCACAGGTTTTCCTGTAGGCTCCTTTACACCAATACTTAACATAGGATTCAAAGCCATCATCGTAATAACAGGTCACAGATAAATCCTCTCCGTGATGGACAGTGACTTCACTGGGGCCCCTGAGGGCCCCAGCTCCTATTGAGAAAAGAGAAAATGACACCTTTAATGGCTCTGTAATGTCACATTTTATCAAAACATGAAGAAGGGTACAAAATATTCTGAACTGTTAGTTGAGTAAAGTCTTTCCAAAAAAATGAGGATTATTTCATGATGGTGTGCGGACCCATCCAAATAATTTCTTTACAACCCAACCATCAGAACCATTGGTGTGTGGTAAATATATAGCCACATATGTAGAGCTATTCACTCCAAATGTCATACAGCTTTTCAGACTCCTTGGCCACCATAATTGTGGAAACCATGGCTTCGATTGGGTAGGGCCTGGCACCCAACTAGACAAGGTCATCCAGCACCAAGGATGAAGATTCCGAACACCAGGAGTGCAGTGTTTGAGGTGGAAGGTAAGTTCTCTGACCCGGGAGGGGTAATATATGCATGGAAAAGAGGCAGGGGGGCGTATTTACTACAGGGCACTTGTCTAGGGTAGCATATTTCAAGAGGGCAGCACCCCCCCCCAGAAGAAGGGATGAAAGAAGGGACATGTGCTCTATGGGAACCAGGTGGGGTCCAAGAGAGGCTGTGGGCTACTTGATAGTGTATGTAGAGCCTGACTCACGTTTCTGGGGATGTCCAGAGCTGTGAAGAGGAGTGTCTTTCTCTCTATCACCGGGGGGGGGGGGGGGGGGGTTAGTGGTAGGCTCTCCTAGGTGGGAGGCAGGGGAGTTGGTCAATGTCAGGCTCTCTCCACGGGAGGAGGAAGGGGGGTGATGTTGGTTTGTGTTCGTGGGTGAAGACAATTTTTTTGTGTTGCCTAAGGTAACACAAAACCTAAATACACCACTGAACAGAGACAATGTGATGAAAAAGGGTGGGGGGGAGGGGAGGGAGGGGATAGGTAGGATAGAAGTTCTGGAGAGTGTTAAAGGTGGATAAAATAGAGGTGGTTTGAGGAGGTGGAAGTGCTGTGATCTGGGAGGTTAGGTAATCAGCAGATAGACACAGTGACCAGGAAGAGGGGTAGGTGGAAGGTACTGGAGGAAAGAAGGTGAGGTTGTATGCAGATGGAATTGAAGGTGGTATGGAGTTGCTGGGACTAGGGGAGGGGGTGGAATGTAATGAAGGGGGGTAGAGGGAGGTGTACAGGGAACTTCACCAATGTTGCATATTGAACCACCTTCTGATCACCATATTCCTGACACTAAGAGCTCCTTTACCGGATCTGATGCTGCTGATCCCTCTTCTCACAGAGAATGCCAACAAAGCCACCACCCTCTCCTGCAGTAATCAGTGCTGCTGGTCAGCCTGCTCAGTGGCACAGCCCATCCTCTCACCCTCTGCCTCCCACCGCTGAATCTCTGGAGGGCTCCCCCCTTCCTGCAGCAAGAGCTCACAGGAGCACCACAAGGACTAGTGAGAGGTCATTCCCCATTGTTCACACTGCTAATAGGGACTGAGTCACTGGAGGGGCAGCACACTAAGTACATTGTACCTTTCGGGCTCATTTACAATTATTTTGACTTTAACACACATTAATGCACCTACTACTTCAACATGCATTTTTGAGGCTTTGGTGACCCTTTTTTTGAAGCTTTAATGAAGCTTGGTAGATGCCCTGTGTGTGTTTGATTTTCTATTTGTGTTAAAGGAGCCCAGTAGAACCCTGGCTTAGTAGTACCCCCACTCAGCAGATCCCCAGAATATTCGTATTCTTGTTCAGTAGATCCATGCTCAGTAGTACCACCAGCTCTTCTGATGCCCCACTCAGTTGTAATCCCCAGCACTACTGATCCCCCAGTTAGTAGTGCCACCAGCTCTACTGATCCCCCACTCAGTAGAGCCACCAGCTCTACTGATGCCCCACTTGGTAGTAACCCCCGGCTCTGCTGATGCCCCAATTGGTAGTAACCCCCGGCTCTGCTGATGCCCCAATTGGTAGCCCCCCCCGGCTTTGCTGATGTCCCACTCAGTAGTAACCCCCAGCTCTACTGATGCCCCACTTGGTAGTAACCCCCGGCTCTGCTGATGCCCCAGTTGGTAGTAACCCCCCGGCTCTACTGATCCCCCACTCAGTAGAGCCACCAGCTCTACTAATGCCCCACTTGGTAGTAATCCCCGGCTCTGCTGATGCCCCAATTGGTAGTAACCCCCCGGCTCTGCTGATGTCCCACTCAGTAGTAACCCCCAGCTCTGCTGATTCCCCACCCAGTAGTAACCCCCGGCTCTGCTGATGTCCCACTCCGTAATAACCCCCGGCTCTGCTGATGCCCCACCCGGTAGTAACCCCTGGCTCTGCTGATCCTCTGGTTTGCCGATCACCTCCCGCTTTATTACTCACCATGTGACATCTGCTAGTTTATCACGCCCTGGTCCCTCAGCTCTGCTGATTCTCCACCACTCAGTCCTTTCTCTCTCCAGTCCCCACTCACCTCCTGCTATATTGCTCCCAAGCTGCTCACCACCTGTGACATCTGCTAGTTTCTCCCGTTCTACTCCCGCAGCTCTGCTGATCTTCTAATGCTTAGCGTTCCCATGTTGTACACCAAGTGTGCTCTGCTCCAGTCTAGACCCCGCTCTCCTTCCTGCTGCTCCAAGCTGCACCCCAGATGTACCGTCTGCACCAGACACTCCCAGAATATATACACATGAACTAGATGTGGCTGCTAATTTTGTCTTTCTGGTTCACTTGTTGGTTTCCCAGAGCATTCAGCTAACTCTGAATAAATGCCTCTCAAATGCATCAGGTGCTGTAAGTGAGCATTGTCATAGACTTCTATGGAGGCTTTGGAGGCGCTTTGAAGCACCAATAGCTCTACTACTACTGGGCTACTACTACTATAGTGGCTGCTATGGAGGAAGCACTACAAGGGGAACCCCTGGTCACAGTGGGCACTCATCCTGGACATTTAGGGGAACCCAAAATAACACCAGAGCCCCTCATCCAAAGCACTGATGAACAGAGGGACCCCAGATAACAGCAGTCCCCCCCATCCTGGACATTAAAGAAGAGAGGGACCCCAAGATCACAGTGGAACCACACACTTCCAACACTGATGAACAGAGGAACCCTAGATCACATTGGAGACCCTCATCCCAAGCACTAATGGAGAAAGGGACACTAGATCACATCAGGGTCTTTCATCCCTGACAATGATGAACAGAGGGACCCCAGATCAAAGGGGAGACCCTCATCACAGACACTGATGAAGAGAGGGACCCCATATCACTTTGGGGCCCCTCATCCCAGACAATGATGAACAGAAGAACCCTAGATCTCAGCAGAGATATCTTACCAGACAATGATGAAGGGAAGGACCCAGGATCACAATGGAGACCCTTATCTCTGACGCAGATGAAGAGAGGGACCCCAGTTTGGTGTGGAACTCTTCATACCAAATGCATATATATAGTGGGACCCCAGATCACACTGGAGACACTCATCCCAGACAGTGATGAAGAGAGGGACCGCAGATTACAAAGGAGAACCCCAACACAGGAACTGATGAAGAGAGGGACCCCAGATAACAGCTGTGCCCCTCATTCCAGACACTGATGAAGAGATAGATCACAGCTGTGCCCCTCATCCCAGACAATGATGAAGAGAGGGACCCTAGATCACAGAGGAGATCCTCATTTCAAACACTCATGAAGAGAGGGACCCCAGATCACAGCTGTGCCCCTCATCCCAGACAATGATGAAGAGAGGGACCCCAGATCACAGAGGATATCCTCATTTCAAACACTCATGAAGAGAGGGGCCGAGATCATAACTTTGCCCCTCATCCCAGACACTGATGAAGAGATAGATCACAGCTGTGCCCCTCATTCCAGACACTGATGAAGAGAGGGACCCCAGATCACAGAGGATATCCTCATTTCAAACACTCATGAAGAGAGGGGCCCCAGATCACAGCTGTGCCCCTCATCCCAGACACTGATGAAGAGAGGAACCCTAGATCACAGAGGAAATCCTCATTTCAAACACTCATGAAGAGAGGGGCCCCAGATCACAGCTATGCCCCTCATCCCAGACACTGATGAAGAGAGGGATCCCAGATCACAGCTTTGCCCCTCATACCAGACACTGATGAAGAGAGAAACCCTAGATCACAGAGGAAATCCTCATTTCAAACACTCATGAAGAGAGGGGCCCCAGATCACAGCTGTGCCCCTCATCCCAGACACTGATTAAGAGAGAAACCCTAGATCACAGAGGAAATCCTCATTTCAAACACTCATGAAGAGATGGGCACCAGATCACAGCTGTGCCCCTCATCGCAGACACTGATGAAGAGAGGGGCCCAGATCACAGCTGTGCCCCTCATCACAGACACTGATGAAGAGAGAGATCACAGAAGAGCACCTCACACCAGACACTGATGAAGAGGGGGACCCCAGATCACAGAGGAGACCCTCATCCCAGATAATGATGAATAGAGGGACCGCAGATCACTGAAGATCCCTTCTTCCCAGACACTGATGAAAAGAGGGCCCCCAGATCACAATGGAGACCATTGACCAGACACTGATGAAGACAGGGACCCTGGGTCACAAAGGAGAACCTCACCCCAGACACTGATGAAGAGAAGAGCCCCAGATCACAGTGGAGCCCTTCATCCCAGACAATGATGAAGACATGAACCCCAGATCACAGTGGGAACCCTAATCCCAGACACTGATGAAGAGAGGGACCCCAGAGCACAGTGGGAACCTCCATCCCAGATTGTGGGGGATCCCCTCATCCTATATCCTTTTTACCCATAATATTTATGTATTTATAAATCTTCTTGAACTTAACAATAATGCAATGAGATCCCCAGATCACAGTGGGAACCCCCATCCCAGACACTGATGAAGAGAGGGACTCCAGATCACAGTGGGAACACCCATCCCAGACACTGATGAAGAGAGGGACTCCAGATCACAGTGAGAACCCCCATCCCAGACACTGATGAAGAGAGGGACTCCAGATCACACAGTGAGAACCCCCATCCCAGACACTGATGAAGAGAGGGACTCCAGATCACAGTGAGAACCCCCATCCCAGACACTGATGAAGAGAGGGACTCCAGATCACAGTGGGAACCCCCATCCCAGACACTGATGAAGAGAGGGACTCCAGATCACAGTGGGAACCCTCATCCCAGACACCGATGAAGAGAGGGACTCCAGATCACAGTGGGAACCCCCATCCCAGACACCGATGAAGAGAGGGACTCCAGATCACAGTGGGAACCCCCATCCCAGACACCGATGAAGAGATGGACTCCAGATCACAGTGGGAACCCCCATCCCAGACACCGATGAAGAGAGGGACTCCAGATCACAGTGGGAACCCCAATTCCAGACACTGATGAACAGATGGACCTCAAATTGTAGGCAATCCCTCATCTTATATCCCTCTCATCCCTAATATTTATATAGAGATGAATCTTCCCCAACTTACCAATAAGACAAAGGGACCCCCAGATCACAGTGGAGACCCTCATCCTGAACAATGGCACACAGAGGGACCCCAGAAGATGATAGCGCCCCTCCAACACTGATGAACGGTCACTGTGCTGGTGTGAAGTGAGAACAGAAAGGGGAACCTCAGATCTCAGTTTCAGGAACACAATTATTTGAGATGAAAATAACTCCATGATGGCTTCCTGTTTGGTCACAGATGTTCAGTGGGGGCCAAGACATTGTGTGATATCGCAGCAGAGAAAGTGAGACTGCAAAGTTTGAGGAAATATGACACTAAAATGCTGAATAATGTTTCCCTTACAGTGCGTGCACAGAGAATTGGGGGCAGGGGGGGGCAGATGAGGGGAGAGGAGCAAAAGGAGAGAAAGAGGAACATCGGAAATCCAGACACCTCTCCCTGTCCTTATCGCACGTGCCAGGGCAACAGGAAGTGTGGGGAAATTTCCTCCAACTGTGCACATAACAAGAAAACCCGGCCAGGCTATAACCTGCCATCACTCTGCAGCAGGAAACCAACAAAAACATTTCAGCTGGAGTTGGGCTTTAACACAGCAGTTTGGAACTCTGCTGCCACCGACAGCTCAGATCTGGTATTGCTGTGCCTGACCAGGACTGTGGGGAACACACAAGCACAGGATGGAAACTCTGCTTCCATCTACAGCTCAGATCTGGTATTGCTGTGCCTGACCAGGACTGTGGGGAACACACAAGCACAGGATGGAAACTCTGCTGCCACCTACAGCTTAGATCTGGTATTGCAGTGCTTGACCAGGACTGTTGAGAACACATATGAACAGGATGGAAACTCTGCTACCACCCACAACTTAGATCAGGTATTGCAGTGCTTGACCAGGACTGTGGAGAACACACAGGCACAGTGTCACGGATCCAACCCACACGCACATGCCCACAGCGACTAGCTAACCGAGGCACGCATGTGTGGCCATGACTTTTGGGTAAGAGGGAATAAGGGGGACTTAATATGAATATATAAAATTGTATATAAAACCGGCCATGATATACTTTCACAGTGTGCACTACCTCTTGGCCACCACCAGAGGGAGACTCCACTCCAATCCAGCAGGCCGACCACACGGGCAGATAAAAATCTTACATACAATCTGGTGCACTAATTAGGGTCAAGGAGCACCCTTCTAGGATTCCTCCAGCTATCCTACAGTCTGGTCCCAGCAGCCTGCGGGAGAAGAAGTGGGCATGGTGCTGCTGACACAGACAGAGCGGTGAGCGTGTGAATCTCTCTGAGGCTTGCTGGCCTCATTCTGGCCTGGGGCTAAATTTTTTGCCTAGGCCCAGCCAACTATGGCGGAGCCCGGCCATGATCCGGGCGGGGGTACCCCCCAGGGGAGCAGAGTACTGGTCCAATGGAGACCGAGGACCTGGGAAATGCTCCCAAACAGAGTGAATCGTATGCTGCCTACAGAGGACGGGTGACGGCTCATGTGGCCAGGATCAAGAGGGAGGAGGAGAACCTGAACAAGCTAAAGCGGGATTTGAAGAGAATGAAGGCGAGCTATGAGAGAGTATGGAGTACTAAGAGGCAACTCATGCGACCTGAACTTGACTCCATGGAGCTGGCAGTCCCCCGGCAAAGCTCTTATGTGAGTACCCTGAAGCAAGCCAGTGGAATCCTCAGGGAGAAGTACTCCAATAAGGAGCGTTTCAAGATGGCCAGGGAGCGGTCACTAGCCGCAGCAAGAGGCAGCCATGTGAAGGATCCTCATCAGGGGATCAGTCGGATACCACCGGTGCAGCTGTGACCGCTATGGAGGAAATCCCGGAGCAAGCTGCAGGGAGCGCAGCAGTGAGAGTGAAGGAGGAAGTCACGGAGCAAGCCGGAGGGAGCGCAGCAGTGAGAGCGGAGGAGGAAGTCCCGGAGCAAGCCGGAGGGAGCGCAGCAGTGAGAGCGGAGGAGGAAGTCCCGGAGCAAGCCGGAGGGAGCGCAGCAGTGAGAGCGGAGGAGGAAGTTCTGGAGCAAGCCGGAGGGAGCGCAGCAGTGAGAGCGGAGGAGGAAGTCCCGGAGCAAGCCGGAGGGAGCGCAGCAGTGAGAGCTATGGAGGAAGTCCCGGAGCAAGCCGGAGGGAGCGCAGCAGTGAGAGCAGAGGAGGAAGTCCCGGAGCAAGCCGGAGGGAGCGCAGCAGTGAGAGCAGAGGAGGAAGTCCCGGAGCAAGCCGGAGGGAGCGCAGCAGTGAGAGCGGAGGAGGAAGTCCCTGAGCAAGCCAGAGGGAGCACAGCAGTGAGAGCTATGGAGGAAGTCCCGGAGCAAGCCGGAGGGAGCGCAGCAGTGAGAGCGGAGGAGGAAGTCCCTGAGCAAGCCAGAGGGAGCGCAGCAGTGAGAGCTATGGAGGAAGTCCCGGAGCAAGCCGGAGGGAGCGCAGCAGTGAGAGCGGAGGAGGAAGTCCCGGAGCAAGCCGGAGGGAGCGCAGCAGTGAGAGCGGAGGAGGAAGTCCCGGAGCAAGCCGGAGGGAGCGCAGCAGTGAGAGTGGAGGAGGAAGTCCCGGAGCAAGCCGGAGGGAGCGCAGCAGTAAGAGTGAAGGAGAAAGCGCAGGGATCCATCCCTGCTCAGCAGCCGCAGCAGCAGCTAGTGTGGGAGTCACAGGAGATGCACAGTGATGGCGTGGCTGGGCTGAGCTTTGTGCAGGAGATGGAATCTCCTCTGGGAGGTCGGAATTTTGCCTTCACCTCGGAGGAATCGGAGGAGAAGGGTGACGGCACTCAGAAGCCGCCGAAGCCTGTGAAGCAGAGAGTGTGAGAGAAGGGAGTGTACATGCTGCTGGAGCGGATCCCCGGCTCTCTGCTTCCTAGAGAGGGGGGGAGGAGAAGCCAATGGGAGAGGAGCCGTCAGGTCTTGGCTCTGCCCCCAGGCCCGGGCTCTGGCCGCAGGCCCCGCCCACACCACGGCACCAGCTTTGGCCAGACTTTGCCCATACAGTGGCACCAGCTCCGGCTGCAGGCCCTGTCCATACCGTGGCTCTGCCTCTGGCCACAGGCCCTGCCTGCCCACCCCAAGGTACCGGCTCTGGCCATAGGCCCCACCCACACTGCGCCTTCAGCTCCATCCTCCCTCCTTAGCCCCCCAGCTCCTGATGCAGGAGGAGTCTTGAGCTACTCAGCTGCGCTGACAGGGGGAGGGAATTCTGTGAGTGCACCTGTGGCACAGGGTGTGGGATCAGGGGTGCAGGCACAGAGGAGAAATGTGGTGCAGCTGCGGTGGGAGGGTAGGAACCCCCCCATCAGAAGGGAAGTAGTTGATAGGATTATTGAGATGGGGTTCAGAGCTGCTGACATTTTTGCTTTCATTACTCCAGTAGGGACGGGGGAGTACAACATCTCCTTCCAGAGGGCTGAAGGGCTGGAGACGTTCTGGATAAAATATGAGCATGAGGGGAGGTGCGCATGCACGGCCGGCGGGACGGACATGCTGAGGTAGAGCTCCGTCTCCCCGTCGGGTGACACAACAGTCCGTCCGCGGATCCCGGCCGGCACAATTACGCAGGAGGCATCGTGAGACATCCGTCTCCACGGCAACCCTGCTCAGACCCGTCCCGGCTCAATTGGCGGCGAGCAGGGAGCTGCGGCCCTGTCTCCACGGTGAGCGGAGCAGAGGCCCGCCCACCATCCTCTAATCTGAGCCCATACAACGCCGCAGGGCAAAGTGGGGGGGCTTCGATCACAGTGGCAACCCCCCTCTCTGGAAATAGGATGGTTAGGGGAGCACCCCGCCACCAAGCCCCGCCGCAAAATAAAACTATTAAGGAGGCACTTGCAAAGGCCTCCTCCAAGATAGCCGCCGCCCCAGCACGTAGCAGCAAGCAGGCTGCAAAATCATACAACACCCTGCAGGATACACAGTCCAGTCGTCCTGGTGCATCAGAGGGTGAGTCTGATATTGACCCAGACACCCCAACTCTTGCTTCAGCGCCTGACCTTACACCCCCTGACCTCCTTACACGCTTTGAGCAGATGCTACATAAAGCATTGCAGCAAACCTCTGACCGTATTACCGCTACACTGTCTAGAGAAATCCACGAATTGGGACAGCGCACTGCTGACCTAGAGCAGAGAGTAGACGATCTTGAAGCCTCATTACAGACACAAACCGATGACCTTGATCTCTTACGTGACGAAAATGCAACGCTGCACACGCATCTGGAGGACTTTGAAAATAGGGCAAGACGCTCAAACTTACGAATCCGTGGCCTCCCAGAATCGATCATCGATGTCCAATCAACCATTACGGCGCTATTTCAAGAGCTCGCCCCAGCCATTCCAATCGAATGACTAGAAATGGATAGGGTTCATAGAGCATTAGCCACATGGCACCCCGATGGCAGGCCACGTGACATCATAGCCAAACTCCACCTTTACCGCACCAAAGAGCAACTCCTACAAGCAGCCCGTAACGTGGAATCTTTACAATTTCAAGGCCATATCTACCAGCTATTTCAGGACCTCTGCCCTACAACCATCACTAAACGCAGGGCTATGAAACCCCATCTGCAAACACTCCAACAACACGCCATACCATACAAATGGAGCTTCCCCTTCGCCGTACGGTTCCGATATCAAACTCGGGACTACACCTGCAAAACTCCCGAAGACCTGCTGGACACCCTGCGGAACCTTCAGCTACACTCTCCAACAACACCATCAGAGAGCTCCAAACGGAGATCCACATCCTGCTCACCGCGGAAATCTTATCCCTCACGCTCCACTGATGGTCAGCTCAGCATCCACAAACGAGGGCGTTTTTTCATCACCAGGCACTTCTCCACAAGATACCATGGACTGAACCGCGTCCTTCAACTTCTACTTTACCACGTACACCAGGTTATGTATCTTTTAGCTAGCGTTGAAGACGCCACCCAGGGTTCTTATTTTCCCTAATGTTTTACCTAGATTATATCTTAGGTTGTGCATGGGGACCCCAGCTCTGGCGGCATAGGATGCCGTCTCTCTCCTTTCTTATTGGTCCACCACCATGACCGATGCCGCCCGAGCTCAGGACCCCCAAATTGTTTGGGAATATATTCAGTAATTT